AGCACATGGTTTGTGGGGTTGGTTGTTCAAAAATATCGGTAAAAAAAAAGAAAGGGAGGTGGTGGAAATAAAAAATAAAATAAAGGAGGAATTGGTAAAACCAGTTGAGGGGTCGGTTAGCTTTTCAAAAAAAAACATGGAGTAGAATAAATATAAAAAAAGGAAAAGAAAGTGGAAAGATAAGAGAGGTTAATTAAAAGTGTGTTCCTCATAAAAAAAAGAAAAAGAAAGTTGAGTGGGCTCTCTTAGCTCCTGTTCATCGACAAGATTGATGTCAGAGAGCTTGTGAGTTGGTTTCTTTCCAGAACTGCCCAACTCTTTTGCGAGAAAATAGTTTCTTGAGAACCCAAACTCTTCGTCGTCAACATCGTTGGCCTCCATGGTTTTGATTTCAACTGGTTCAAGGAAAGGAAAAGTAGGGCAAGAGCAGCTGCAACATTAATCTTTATTTTACCTAGCCGGAATCTTGGTTAAAGCCGACGGAGAGAGCCGCGAATGCTTCGGAATCGACACCGACGAGGCTTGACTCAGGAGAGTCCGAACCATGGCTGGATCGGCGGGTTGCTTCGGAGTCTTCGAAGGGTGTGGTTCGGAATCAGAATGAAGTCGGTAAGCGGGGCTCGGGTGACCGGACACGTGGTATTGCCGGTGGCGACTCAGGACTCGATACTGGTTCAGTCGTAGGTCTGACCGGTGCTCACGGTTACAGGGTCGCGTATGAGCTCGAGCGAGATCGGACACCTGAAGTAGTATGGGATCTGAACCCCCATGTCCAACGGCTCCAAGCTGCTGTGTGAATTCACTGCACAAACGGAGATCAACAAGACTTTGGGGAACTGGGTAGAGGAGATCAACAAGACTTTTGGGAGAGGTCCGGAATGAAGGTATGTGTAGAGGTCCGGCCAAGGCAAGGCTGCCGCCCGCCGGTGAAGCAGAATTACTAGCTTCTCAACCTTGCTCTGATACCATGTTAGAAAATGATAGATGTATTATTGATTGATGTATTGATTGATTGATCTTTTAGTCTATTACAAATGGTTCCTTATATAGATGTAGGTGTAGTGGAGTAGGTGGTGGTAGGTGAGGAGTAGGTGAGTGTAGGCGAGTGTAGTAGGTGAGTGTGTGGTAGGTGATGGTAAGTGTGTGGTAGGTGATGGTAAATGTTAACAGTATGCTAATGAGGTCATTCACCGTTCTAGTCTTACTGATACTAAGGTTTCTGATACACTTATTGAGCTTAATGTGAAGCTCAACTCTATTGATGGTGTCCCTCTGGATGATTCCACTTTTTATCGCGAGCTTGTGGGTTGCTTAGTTTATCTGACGGTTACTCGTCCTGATCTTGCCTATGTTGTTCATGTGATGAGCCAGTTTGTTTCTGCTCCTCGCTCCCCACATTGGGCTGCATTGGTTCGGATTCTTCGCTATCTCTGAGGTACTATCTTTCAGGGTTTACTATTGTCTTCTACTTCTTCTTTGGATTTGGTGGCCTAAGCTGATTCTGATTGGGCTGGTGATGTTACTGACCGCAAGTCCACGTCTGGTTTTTGTATGTTTCTTGGCGATTCCTTAATCTCTTGAAAAAGCAAGAAACAAACTGTTATTGCTCGTTCTACTGCTGAAGCTGAGTACCGTGCTATGGCTCATGCTACTGCTGAGATTGTTTGGCTTCGTTGTCTCTTATTTGATTTGGGTGTCCCCGAGTCTTCTCCAACCTCTCTCTATTGTGACAACCGCAGTGCTACTCAGATTGCTCACAATACTGTCTTCCATGAACGGACGAAACACATTGAGGTTGATTGTCACTTTGTCCGACAGCATCTGCAGTCTGGCTCTATCTCACTTCCTCTTGTTTATTCGGCTTTGCAATTTGCGGACTTCTTCACTAAGATTTATATTACCGCTCGGTTTCAGTTTCTTCTTAACAAACTCTCAATATTTTCTGCTAAAACACCTTGAGTTTGAGCAGGGGTGTGAGAATATATTGTGTATAGAATTAGGGAAGATTGTATTGTGTATAGAATTAGGAAAGATTGTGGTGTAACTATTTGGCTATATTTTCTTTTTCGTATTTTTCTTTTTCAGTCATAGGTTTAGGGTTATATAAACTGGTGACCTCATTATAAAAATATACAATTGAATATACAGTTTCATTACAGAAAACTTACAGGTGGTTGTATATACTTGCAAGTCCATCGTGGTTGGTAATGGAATGGGATTTGCAAGTACTAATTTGATTTTTTCATTTAAGGTTGAGACTATGAGAGTATGAGATTCAATCATCTGGAAACATATAAATCCGTAAAAATGAAGGAGCAAATAACAATTGAAATTTCTTTTTTTTTTTTTTGGGGGGGGGGGGGGGGTTTCACTTACACAATTTAAGTTCTTGATAGTCTTGAAATATTAGATTTTCAACACATAGGAAAATGATGGTCAATCGAATATGACATTCAATTGTTGGTCACTTTCATTTTGAAGACATAGGAAAGCAACATAGCTCAATCACTCACTCAACACGTCTTAGTCCCAATCACTTGGTGGTAATGTTGTGACATGGCCTGGTGGTCAAGGCTTGGGGCCTGGGGTGTGCTCCCTCCAAGGTCTCAAGTTCAAAAACCTCTTAGGTGCAAACAATTTCTTGAGGCTAGTCCACATAGGGTAACCCTACATATATGTAAGAATAAGAATTTGAGTCTTAGATTTTATTACCAAAAGGTCACGACTAATACAACTTATATTTGACCATCATTTTTCTGTGTGTTGAAAAATCAAATATTTCAAGACTATCAAGAACTAAAATTGTGTGAAAAAAAAAAAAAAGAACTTAAGTTACCAATTTTTCATTTTCAAGACATAGGAAAGCAACATAGCTCAATCACTCACTCAACGAGTCTTAGTCCCAATCACTTGGTGGTTGACTACTTCAATCCATTTACTCATGTTGCCATATTCAAAGCCATGTTAGTTAATACCTAGGCAATCATGTTGTTTCCGCATTGTGTCAACCCATGTTCTTCTTGGCCTATCTATTTTTTGTTTTTTGGCACCATGTTCTTTAATTGAATTCTCCTTATTGATGTATTAGTTGGTTTATGTTGCATATGGCAGCTATACCATCCCAAATGACTCTCTCATTTGTCTTCAATTAGTGGCATTTCTAATTTCACAAATACATTAAATTGAATAGCTGATGCGTTAACAAAAAAGAAATGAATTAATATTAAAAAAAAAAAAAAAAACAAAATGAAGGGATTATTATAATCAAGGTAGTTAATGAGAAACAATTTCCAATTAAGTCGATTAAATGTAATTTTTTTTCCCCAAATCTACATATTAAAAAAACAATCCAAGTTGGTAAAAAATAGGGTAAAGTTGTGTTTTTGTCTATGGGCTTCTCTTCTCCACCACATTCGTTAGCCCTCCTCCGTCTTCTAAAACCACTGCCTCCGCTTCCTCAGTCGTGCAGATCTTCATAAAATTGACGAAATATTTCGGGGTTCGGATTCTTGTTGAAGAACATAAATGTTTATCATGTGTATGTATATGGAGAGAGCTGTCAAAAGTTCTTTGTTTTTTAACTAAAAATGAAAAAGAATATCCATGCATCCACAGGTTTTGAGAAAGAGTACCACTTGATACCAATCTATCTATTCACAATTCACTAGAAACAAACCACAACAATTACTTGTAAACCCAATCATAATAGATAAACAAATAAAGTGATTAATCCACTATTCAAATTTGAATTCGGTGCTCTAGATCTTCATCACGGAGGGTTGAAGACGGCAGTCCCCAAACATGGAGAAGGGCAGGCAGCAGTAGTGGGATTCTGCGGAAGGAAAAGGCACAATAAACAAAATGACATTTTTTGTCACGATTTTTTTACCATTTTGTGGTTAAATTGCCAATAGAGAAACTGGGGAATAAATATTTACATTTAATGACTTAATTGTGAATAATTTCTCATTAACTTCCTTAAGTGTAATTATCCCAAAAAATAAAAGGAAGATTGACTACTAGAAATGTCTGGGTTTTTCCTTGGTAATTGATCAAAAGTTTATATGTTATAAATCTTTGCATACATGTCTTTTATTCTTAAACTGCCTGTAGCTCCAATGGATTAATAAGCGGAGAAAGAATTAATGAGAGCCGCCTATTGGGAACAAGATTGTGTTCTAAGCAAATGGAGTACATATATTACAAGAATTGTCCATATGCAATGTTGTTGGTAGTGTATTGAAAATAATCAGCACAGCTTATCACTCTACATCCTTGAAATGATGAGTGGAACAAGAATCTTGATGATATTTATGTTTCTTTGAAATCAGGTTGGTTATTGAGTAAGTTAAGTTATGAAAATGATTGGGGTTTAGGAAAGTGACTGAATTTTAATGGTCCTAGATTTGAGCATGCAAAATGGGTTTCTAGTTTTCTATTTTCAACTGAAGTGGCTGAAATTGAAAGAATTGACTAACCACGTTTGATGTTCACAGAATACCTTTTGGCCCACCATTGCCACTCAAGTTAAACTCTCTTTCTCTGTGCATACACACATGTGCATGAATGTGTGTGCACACATACACAATTTTTCAGTATTATATTCCCCTAAATGTTGTGATTTTTTTATGAGCATATTTATTGCAGGTTGATGTTTTTTACTACCTCAGTTTTTTCCCTTCCCCTTTCTTTCTTTGTCTTTCCATTTCTTTCTTATTTTTTTATGTTGAGAGTTCTGACTTGCGTATTGTGATGCTAAAATCCCTCCTTTTCATGTAAATGTTTTTTGCTTAAGTTCTTAGTACAAAAACTAGGGTTCTTTCGAGGAATTAAGCGTGATTTTTCATGCCAAGTTTCTTATCTACTAGCAAAGATGCAAGACTGAGTGGTCAGAATCAGATCTTACTACATATGCTTCTTCATAAAAAACCGACCTATTTTTTTACCCTGACATAGTTTATATTTACATTACTATATAATTATTATTTCTATCTTTTCAGCCACCTGCATTTCCTAGGGAAACACCCGAATCAATAAGAGAGTATATAGAGGAGAAGTATCTCTTGCCAAGATTGGACCCTGATGAGTTTTCTCCACAAAAAGCTGGAAGGCAGTGGGAATTCGACTGGTTCAATACAGCAAAAATTCACCTAGAGCCATCATTGCCCCGGTCTGTTGTAGTTCCTACATGGGAATTACCTTTCAGACGCCCAAAGAAGGGGTTGGAGCAAGAAAAATGGGAACCCGTGTCGGTGCAGGTATTTAGTGCTTGCTCACCCTATATGCATTTTCTTCAGTATAAATGTTCCATTTTGCTTAAGATGAGAAATGAAGTTCACATATATTATTTCATTCTGGTATTTTGTTCAATTGTATTGTTTAGGTGGAGGTATCAGAACTTACAGTAGAAGCTGAGGATTCTGGTGGCTTGCCACGCATGTCTGGATCTGCAAAGGATTTTGTAAAAGGAAGCATCAATAACCGGCCTTTTCGTCCAGGTGGTTTAGATGGTTCCCAAGCTTTAGAAAGGATTCTTCCTGTTGGTGCCTCTAATGGTGAATGGGTATGGGAGGTAATAAACGGTGGTCCTCCTCAAGCCATTCCTCCTAGCATTAAACAAGGACTGGATCTTGGTAATCTCAAGGTAAATTTATAGTTGATTACTTGACAATTTTTGTCTTCAGTTCTGCGAACTTACTACTTTACAATGTGTTTTCCTTCGTTAATTTTATGAAGGCACATTCATACTCATGGAATGTTTATAAGGATCAAAATGAGGTCAAGAGCACATCTGATGAAAATCTGGTCAGTATTTGCAGTCAAGTGATGTTTTTCTCATTTACATGAGTGTATTATATTTTTATTTCTGGATCTTATGCTAATGTTTAAGTCTAGACCTTAGGATTGCTACTTTTGTGAAGTATCTACACACGTCATTGCATGTGCTTAGGTAATCTTTTTCAAAAACAAATCTTAATGTGTATACCTTATGCATTATTAATTTTGCATATGCTTATATAATATTCGTCAAAAAAATGAGTGGTTATATCTTATGTGAGATTAATTTTTATATGTTTGTAATATTTGCAGAATCAGTTATCTGTGCAGTTTGATGACTTATTTAAGAAAGCATGGGAAGAGGATGTTGCAGAATTTGTGAGAGATGGTCTGTATGATCTACACTTGGATAATCTGGCTTCTGTGTTTAAAGTTTTGGTGTCATTTGCAAAGTGCTCTAATGAGTTGCGGCCAGCATGGCTTTAGCTCATGAAGGCTTTATTTGGTACGAGGGATAGAGTTTTGAGAAGACGGATAAGGTACGAGGGGTGCAAATAAATAGCACTCTGAGGGAAAAGAATACCGTCTCTCTCTCTCTCTCTCACAATGGTTCTATTGCGAGGTCAATATATATATATATATATATTTTAACCATAGTTACATAGAAATCTATAGAACATAGAAAAGCAGGATGCCCATGACGCAAATTTTCATTGAATTTTATTTTCCATTAGAAGGACCTTTCACTTTCTGCAGTACCACCTGCAAATGCTCTGCTGGTATGAAAAACAGTCGAGTCAGTTGGTGACTGCTTATTTACTGAAAATGATTTTTTACATAGAAATTATATTAATATAGTTTTTCATCTATATGAAGAAAACTTGATAAATATAATTTGTAGTAAAAAGTTATTTGGAACCGAATGGTAGATAAGTTGTTCTGTGCATCATAGACCACCTAAACTACCCAGGTTTGATTTTCTTAAACTTCATTTCTATACTTTCAACAATAGTTAGCAAATAAATCTAATCTAACTAGTCCAATCAATTGGTTTGTGATAAACTGGCAAGATGAGGGCATGGCATGTTGGTTCATCCTAGGTCATTAATACAGATGATCCCATAAATGAATTGGCCTGGTTCACCGGCTGATTTATAGGCCTGATCAGATGATTTAGTCTGGTTTGAAGAACAGTGATTTGTTTGGTCAGTATGAAGGAAAGGAAAAAGGAAGTGAAGCATTCTTGCTTTGTTTTATCACCGTATGTTATAAATTAACAGGCACATGTTGTTTGAAAGGCTAAATATTTATAGTTAAAGGTTCTTTCTTTCCATACTCGTCAATCCACTTTTGGGCTTAAACAAAATGGTGGATCTGGCGAGGTTTTACCCCTTTTCTTTTATTTTCCCTTCCCCTTTTGAAACTCTCCATCCCCACCCTTTACTTAACTCCTGAATTTCTCCCCCACACTGTTGCATAAGGATATGGGATGTGTGTCTGACCCCGATGCCAAAATAAGGTGCTTGAATAATCCAATAATCTAATATCCATTGAATCCTATTGAATTTCAAGTTTCCTCATAAATAATAACATCCTGCATTAAATGTGATGCAATACAAAATGCAATGCGTTTAAATGCAAAGGACGTGTTCCCATAACCATACCCAACTTTCATAAACATATCCTTGTACTCTTAGTTTTGGGGTTTATAGAGTTCCAACACCTAGCCACTCACCTGCACCGCTTCTAATATCTGAGTTGATGTAATGTATCTATCTCCAAATGGAGCGTAAAATCAGGCAAGACATGGTTTTTCAGTAGGGATGGTAAAATGCCTCGATCCACCGGGTCCCCGACTTCCCCCGACCCTAATGGGATGGGGTTGGGGTTGGGGGTGGTTGAATAAGGTAGGGTCAGATTTGTAATTGAGGGAGCACATGCGTGATTTCAATTTGTTTGCTTGTTGCTTCATCTCTTAAAACTATTCCTTCCCCTAAATTTGATCTTCTGGTTTTGAATACCTCTTCTAGTAACTCACATTCTGATATACAAATGGATTGTAGATTCTGCAAACTTCCAAGAAGTTCTAATGGAGCAACATACACTAATCTGTTAAATTTGCACACATCCAAACTTGTTAGTTTGTTGAAGGAGTTAGTTGGAGGTGTGCTAATCCATATCTGTTCAATGTTGGCCACGGACCCAATCCTCAACTCTTCCAAGCAAGGAAACACAACCTGTATCATTGATAATAACACAAGGAATAAGAAAAAAATTATTAGCTTTTTATTAATAGAAGGGAGGGGAAAAAAAAAGAAAAAAGAAAAAAAAAGGGAGGCGCTTCCATCTCGAGAGTCCTGTCGGAGGTGGGGGGCAAGCGGTGGAAATGGGGGTGGGGTAGGGGACCCCCGACCTATACCCTATCCATTGCCATCTGTTAATGTATAGATGATGAGAAGAAGAAGAAGAAGAAGAAGAAGAAGAAAAGAAGAACAATGAGAGAGAGAGAGAGCTGTTGTATTCCTTAATTCAAAAAGCATAGGGTTTCCCCCTTACACAACTATTTATACTTATAAGAATAATACATAAAGACCAAACTACCCCCAACACTTAACACTCCCCCTCAAGTTGGTGCAAAGATGTTTCTCATGCCCAACTTGCAACAAATAGGGTGAAAGACTTTACTACCAAGACCCTTAGTAAAAACATCCGTCAGTTGATCTTCAGACTTAACAAAAGGCATACATATCACACCCTTATTCAACTTCTCCTTAATGAAATATCTATCAATCTCAATATGTTTAATCCGGTCATGTTGAACAGGATTGTGTGCAATACTAATAGCAGCCTTGTTGTCGCAATACAACGTCATGGGTTCACTCCAATCAAGCCCTATATCACTCAACAAAGATTGAAGCCACATTAGTTCACATGTTCCATGTGCCATAGCCTAGTATTCAGCTTCAGCACTAGATCTGGAAACTACTGCCTGCTTCTTGCTACGCCATGTGACTAGATTTCTCCCTACAAAAGCACAATAACCGAAGGTTGAGCGTCGGTCATCTATAGAGCCTGCCCAATCTGCATCTGTGAACGCTTCCAACCTCAACTGACCATGGTTAGAGAACACAATTTCTTTTCCAGGGGCAGATTTAAGGTACCTCAAAATGTGATAGATTGCATCCAAATGAGTTGCACGAGGATCATGCATAAACTGACTCACTATCCCAGCTGCATAGGCAATATCTGGACGAGTATGAGACAGATATATCAGTCTTCCCACAAGTCTTTGGTACCTTTCCTTCTCCACAGGCTCACCAACCCCACTACAAAGACGATGATTAGTCTTAATCGATGAATCAGCTGGTCTGTAGCCCAACATGTCCATTTCCTCAAGAAGATCTAGAATGTACTTCCTTTGAGAAATGAAGATGCCTTTATTAGATCTGGCAGCTTCAATCCCAAGAAAGTATCTCAATGGACCAAGATCTTTTATCTCAAACTCCTTGGCTAACTGCATCTTGAAATGGGTCACCTCCTCCTCATCATTACCTGTCACAACTATGTCATCCACATATACAATAAGCATTGTTACCTTATGTACATTGCGTTTGACAAACAAGGTGTGATCCACATTGCTTTGTTGATACCCAAATCCCAGCATTGCCTTTAGGAATCTACCAAACCAGGCTCTAGGAGATTGTTTCAAACCGTACAAAGCCTTCTTCAATTTACAAACCTTTCCAACTGTAGTCTGAGATGAGAATCCTAGAGGTACATCCATATATACCTCCTCCTCCAAATCCCCATGAAGAAAAGCATTCTTCACATCTTGTTGCTGTAAAGGCCATCCCAAATTAGCAGCACATGACAGAATAGTTCGAATGGAATTCATCTTTGCTACCGGGGCAAAAGTTTCTTGATAATCTATTCCATATGTCTGGGTAAATCCCTTGGCCACTAATCTTGTTTTGTACCGTTCAATCATCCTATCTGCATTGTGCTTAATAGTGAACACCCACTTACATTCGACTGGTTTTTTTCCATTAGGAAGAGATACCAACTCCCATGTGTTATTTTTACTCAAAGCTTGCATCTCTTCTACCATAGCTACCTTCCACTTAGGATCATTGATAGCTTCTTTCCAACCTTGAGGAATACACAGAAGAAAGAGACGAAACAAAAGCACGATATGGAGAAGACAACGAATCATATGACACGAATTTAGAAATAGGGTGTTGAGTACAGGCTCTAACCCCCTTTCTGAGAGCAATAGGAAGACTCGAATTATCTGTAACAGGACCATCATCAGCAGGTGAAGAGATAAGTTGAGGATCATTACCTGTAGAGTCAGTGGAAACTGGATGTGGAACTAGCATAGGAGATGATGATGGACTTGGTGGCATGAGAGAAGCCTGCTCTTTCTGACGCCGTGAATAAGTCTTAAGATCAGCTCTATCCAAACGACCATCGATATCTGACTCCTTATCAATAGAACTGCTAGGCTCCCCCTCACCACAAATAACAGTCCGCTGATTAGGAAAGAAAAAAGACTACTTATGCTGATATAATGTCGTCTCATCCGTAATCTCATCAATACCACTCTCCCCCTGAGGAGATAGCGGAGGACCAGAAAAAAAGGATTCAGATTCACGGAAGGTGACATCCATACTAACATACAGCTTATGAGTGTGAGGGTCATAGCATTTGTAGCCCTTCTGAGTAGTAGAATAATCAAGAAAGACACACCGGACAGCCTTAGGATCAAGCTTTCCATGAGTACGAGGTTGAAGATGAACAAAACAGACACTACCAAAAACCCGAGGCGGAAGGGAAGAAGTGGGATAAGTCACAGGAAGAAGCTCAAGAGGAATTTGGAAGTGGAGGACACTAGAGGGCATACGGTTAATAAGGTAAGCCGTGGTAAGAACAGCATCCCCCCAAAAAGACTTAGGAACGTTCATGGTAAACAAGAGAGAGCAAGCAACCTCAAGAAGGTGGCCATTCTTACGTTCAGCAACTCCATTATGTTTAGGAGTGCCAACACAACTAGTCGGATAAAGAATGCCATGCTCTTCGAGGTATGCCCTGAAAGCGCCATCAACATATTCAGTCCCATTATCACTCCTAAGAATTTTGATAGTAGCATTGAAGAGATTGGATACCATTTTATGAAAAAGTTTGTAGCACGAGAAAACCTCATTTTTAGTACGAAGTAAATAAATCCAAGTCACACCGGAATAGCAATCAATAAATGTAACAAATCATCGATAACCAGAGACAGAAACCACAGGGGAAGGACTTCACATATCAGTATGAATAAGCATAAAAGGAAAAGTACTTCTTTTATTAATTGAAGGATAACAAGTACGTTTATGCTTTAGTAAGCTCACAAGCATCACAAACAAAGGTATTCCTAGGACAACCACGAACTAATAAAGGAAAAAGTTTCTCTAAAATGCTAAAAGAAAGATGTCCCAAACGGCGATGCCACTGATGAAGGAGACGAAGGGAGGAGCCAGAAGTGCATTGAAGAGCCTGAGAGGACAAAGGTGAGGCAGAAATGGCATCCAGAAAGTACAGTCCACTTTCTGCTCTACCACTGCCTATCATTATCCCCGTAGCCAATTCCTGAAAGACATGAGTCGAAAAAAAGGTTACAGAGCAATTGAGAGCAGTAGTAAGGCTACTAACAGAAAGTAAGTTAGTTGAAAAATTAAGAACATGAAGAACAAATGAAAGCGAAACTAAAGAGGTGCAATGAACAGAACCCTTGCCGGAGATAGAAGATAAAGTGCCATCAGCCACTCTAACCTTATCTTACCCAAAACTAGGCGAATAAGAATAAAAAAAAACTAAAAGTACCCGTCATGTGATCGGTAGCACCGGAATCAATGATCTAAGGAGATGACGAAGAGGCACTAGGTGCACTAACAGAAATACCTATGTGGGCAAAGTTGGAAGAGGCAGAAGAGGAAGGAGCTAAGGCAGAAGAAGAATCAAGTCGAGCCATCAAACGTCTGAGAGTGTGAAGCTCATCCTGGAAAATAGAACCAACATCATTCGAGACACTAGCAGTAGTCTCAGAAACATGTGCTTGAGGACAAACACCACGACCACGACCATAGCCTCGAGTAGGTCGGCCATGCAACTTCCAACAGTGTTCTTTATCATGTCTATCTATCTTTTCCATAATACTCACATTTCAACGGGTCCCGATCGACCAAGGGACCCTTACCACCATTTTGAGGCTGACAAGGCGGAGTATCACGCGACTTGGGACCGACAACCATCACGGACTGATCCGAAACAGGAGCATGCATCATAGCACTACGACAACTCTCCTCCTGTTGAACCAGTGCATAAGCCTCACGCAATGTAGAAAACGGAGAGCGACCCAACATCTAAACCCGTATCTGATCATACTCCAAATTTAGGCCAGCAAGAAAGTCATACAACCGCTCCTTCTCCACAGCCTACTGAAACATAGTGGCATCCATGGAGCAAACTGGTTGGAAACTCTAGTAGAAATCTAGCTCCTGCCATAAGTCACTCAACTCAGCATAGTAGACTGCCGGAGAGCGATCTTTCTGATCCAAGCCCCCTAATCTTTTTACGTAATTCATCGGCCTGTGCATCATTCCCCTGTTGAGAATATATCTGAGAGGCAGCTATCCAGATCTTGTGAGCAGTATCCATCAAGAGAAAAGTCTGACTAATGGTAGGCTCCATAGAATTGATGAGCCAGGTCATAACTAAAGCATTCTCAGAAATCCATTGGGCAGATAAAACACTATCCTCAGTAGGTTGCTAGGTACTACCAGTAATATAGCTTGTCAACCGCCGGGCGGCAATGGCAAGACTACAGGAGCGGGATCAAATCAAGTAATTAGTACCATTAAGCTTGATTGGACTAATCTGGAGAGATGGACTATCACCAAGTCATACCACGACTCAGTCCACTCTCCTCCTTGCCCTTACCCTCGTTGACAACCATGAGATGAGAGAAACATGGTGCAGAAACACAAGTAGGATATCAAACAAAACCAGAAAACACTGAACCAGCACAACAACTCACATTTTAAGGCTAAAAAAGGGCAAAAGTATCCCAGAACACAGTAACCAGATCATCTACAAGCCAAAAAACTGAAGCAGACCATCCAAAATGCAGAAAAAAGCCAAGGTAGGGCCAAAATACCTCAAACCAGGGACAGTAAACCCTTTAAAGGGTCCAGTCGGCTCCCACAGATGTGAGAGGAAGAGACAAAACCAAGCAAAAAGGGTTCAAACAACAACTTTCGAAAAATCACCCAAAATTGACGAAAAATCAAAAAAATTGAAAAAAGCAATCTAGAAGGACCAAAACATCAAAAGGAAATTACAGGGTGAATACCCATTCAATTTCGAGCATGCTGAATTTTTTTTTTTTTTTTGGCTGCTTTTTTTTTGGCTGCTGTTGCTACTATGGACGTACCTAAGGAATGAGAAGAATCATCTTCAAGGAGGAAGATATTGCTCTGATACCATGTTGAATGTATAGATGATGAGAAGAAGAAGAAGAAGAAGAAAAGAAGAACAACAAGAGAGAGAGAGCTGCTGTATTCCTTAATTCACAAAGCATAGGATTTCTCCCTTACCCACAACTATTTATACTAATAAGAATAATACATAAAGACCAAACTACCCCTAACACTTAACACCATCCCTTGCACCGGTGTTCAAGTTGCATTGCTTTATATGCATATTTTTGCTTATAATAGTTGAGGCTGCCCACTTGTTGCAATTTTGATATAAAGGCAATAAAACAACCAGATATGATTCAAGCAAGCAAATGCTGTTTTGCTGAAACATAGAAGTCCAAGATCTCAGAGTAACAGAAGATTTTTGTTTTCAATAATTCAAGGCTTAAGAGCAATAGCCTCTGTTGTAAAACTATGGTATGCAGGTTTGGTTGCTGTTTCTAGGAATTTGTAGATTTAGTTGTAAAATCAACCCTTGGAAGCAAGGATTGTTGTTTTAAATTTAAACTAGAGAAAAGGAACATGAAACTTTATTTTTATTACAATGTTCATGGCTTGTCCATATTTTGTTTTGTTTGTTTATTTTATTTTATTTTTTAAGATTGAATATATTTTTTTTGTTGAAACATTATAGGTTGTCTTCACAATTTTAATTTACATTTCCAACTTCGAATGGTGTTGAGGTCCTCATATATTGTGGCTACATTTGCTGCAAAATGTATTAGGAAACACTCTCCTTGAAAGGCTGGTTTCTTTGGTTCATTGTAGTAGATAATGGAGAGGAAAATGTGCCTTTCTAGTTTGTTCTTTTCTTTATTTTTCTATTCTACCTAGAATCTCCTTTTGTTATTTAAATTTATATTCTTTATTTTATATCTTTATCTGTGCAACAGTGTGCTGTCTGGAAATTTTCTTTGAAGTTATTTGCCAAACAGCTGCAAAAAGCTTGGTCAACTTGTTAAGTCAAATTGTCAACATATAATAGAATCAATAGTTGCCATCTTGTTTGCGTGGCTATGTTGGCATGCAATTTTCCAGGATTTTTCTTTTTAATTTACTTTTTCCAGGCTTAAAATGGTGTTTTCTGAAGGTCATGTGTCAGAATCGGAAGCTGAAGTCAATGAGGAATCAGTTAAATTGGAGTCTGTTGAGTTGGAAGCTGAAGTGAATAAGGAAAATGTACCTGGTACTGTTTTTGATACTGAATCATCGCTGTTAGATGATATTTTGTTAGTAGAATCAGGAGGATCAACTTCAAGATCGCATGAAACTAGTGATAGTGGTGGGCAGCAGCATAAAGAGGTTAATATAGCTTGTTCAGCTGTTTGCATTCTGTCTCTTGCCATGCTATTAGTTAATGAGTGTTTTTATCTGCAGGGCTGGGCCATTAGTGGAGACAGTGAAGGGATTGCAGAACATTTTCATGAACTTGTTCCTGACATGGCACTTGAATTTCCTTTTGAACTGGATAAATTCCAAAAGGAGGTATTGATTGTTGCAAAATTTACATTGCCATATGTTTGCACTAGTATGTTAGCTATCATTGGGCTGGAGTAGGTAATTGCAACATAGAACAATAAATTTGCGTCTAGTTTTGAAGCACTGTAAAATACACTTACTGCTTAATCTAAGACATGTTTTTTGGGACTTCCTCTGTTAATGTAGATTAATTAGCTCAACTCCATGGTTATGAATACTGAAAACAAAAAATCAAAAAAAGATGGAATACAGAAAATAATTGAGTTTTCAGAAGAAAAAAATTTGTGAATAAAATTAAAATTATTTTCCCCACTGTCCATTTCAGTAAAACTTACTGTTGTGTTTCAAATAGCTTTGCATGTGCAAAACATCATCCCACTTCATAGTTTTTCATTTATAAATAATTTTTTATTTTTTATTTTAATTTTATGGCTAGCTTTTTCTTCTTTAAAATGCTTTTATTCTTGCAGGTTTTAGCTGGCTCTTGTAGTCATTTTCGCTGAAGTGACTCTTGAATGAAAATCATAATCTGAATTCCTTGAATCCGTAGGTTTTGCAAATATTCTTGATTGTTATGTTGGTGTGCTGGATATTATTCCAGTCAACTTAAATTCATCAAAATCCATGTGGTGCCAATTTTTGGGCTTTTTCTATTTTCTCTGATGACATGCTGGCTATATATTCTCATATTATTTTTTTTGGGGAAAAATGCGATGTCCAACAAGTTTTTTGGGATGTATTTATGAGTTCTTTGATTTTCAGCTCAAATCAAAGTTAGTTATTTTTTACTTTGATTATTACAGGCTATCTATTATCTTGAGAAGGGGGAGTCTGTTTTTGTGGCAGCTCACACATCAGCTGGGAAGACGGTTGTCGCAGAATATGCATTTGCTCTGGCATCAAAAGTATGACTTCTCTCTGAATCCTCATTGTTTGTTTATGTAATCAAAGAGCATCATCTTCTTTTCTGATTCTCAAAATTAAATATTCTCCCTTGAAGTATCATTGTCTTTGTGTCCAAGCTTGTTGTTTTATGTAGCTTTTATGCTGAGATTTTGATTTAATAATTATTTCATGCAGCACTACACAAGAGCCGTATATACTGCTCCAATTAAAACCATTAGCAACCAAAAGTACAGGGATTTTTGTGGAAAATTTGATGTTGGCCTTCTCACCGGGGATGTTAGCTTGAGGCCAGAGGCTTCTTGTCTCATCATGACCACTGAGATACTAAGGTCAATGCTTTATAGGGGTGCTGATATCATACGTGATATTGAATGGGTAAAGGGGTTCGTTTTCTTTTGCATTATAATTCCCTTTCTTTAATTTTTTTTTTCTTTGATTACCTTCTTCACCCAATTTTCCCCTTTTTCTTTTTGTTTCATTTTTCTTATTATGAATTTCTGAGACATTTTTGGTTATTTTATTTCCATGCATGTGGGGAGACAGGTTATATTTGATGAAGTGCATTATGTTAATGACGTTGAAAGGGGCGTTGTTTGGGAAGAAGTTATCATCATGCTTCCGAGGCATATCAATATTATTCTTCTTTCAGCCACGGTACGTACTTCTTGATATTCATTTTGATATAATGCATTATGGACTAGATGCTATGGGATGATATTGATCATTGGTTTCTCAATTTGGCATAGATATTGTTTTAAGTTCTCTTTTTTAATACTAAGTAATCAGCAGCTTGGTCCATATTTTGTGATGGAAAGTATTTGAGCAAGGCAAATGCCAACTGCTGTGTGGTACTTTTTTTTTTTGATGACTTGGTATTCGGCCCAATGGATTGACTAATCTTGGGAACCAATCTCATGATCCACTAGTGGAGCCTATTTAATGCCAGGCAAAGCCCCGTATGGATTGGCCCCAAGAAATTGTATGCACCTAGGAGGTTTCAAACTTGAGACATTAGAGGGAGCAACTGCTGTTTGATACTTAAAAAACTGATTAAACTACTTTGGTTTTGAGCGTTGCTTTGCTTTCTCGCTCAAATTCTAAGGTGGTGCTGAGAGCATAGACTTTTTAACTTGCACTTGTGACTGTCATAATGTAGATGGTGGGGGGATTGTATTTACAAAAATTTAGACCCCCCAAAAACTAGCCAATATTTTACATCTACACAATACTGACATGGGTGTGGGTCCCACACCCATGTGAGTATTGGGTAGAATTTTTGGTAATTTTTTTGAGGTCCCTAGATTGCTCTTGTATTTATGGTTGAAGTGAAAAAAAATTATTTTGAGGGGCCAAGTAATGTATTTTTGTGTGTATATATGTACATATGCATCTAATTTTTAATTTGTTTTGGAAATATCAAAATTAGAAGGTAAAAGATATGTCGAGTTAAACAAAAAATTTCATCAAATTTGTGCCATTTGTACTTTCTAACTAGCCAATTATTTGGCGAATTTTAATCAACTAACCTTCTCATAGTTTGTTTAATTATTATGTAAATTTGTTTAATTATTATATGATGTAGAACACAATAGGGGAAGAAAAAGAGAAGAAGAGAGGGAGGAAGAACACAAGGGCCAAAGTCCTAACAGAATGACCACAACCAGTGTTTTAAATGGTGCTAGGTGCACCGAGGCGATAAGATCTCCTATGGCCTAAAGCGCGAGACATGAGGCAAGGAGTGCGCCTTACCAAAGCGAGGTGCAAGTAGTAGAAGAAAACTAAAATTATAAAATAGGCAAACTTTTCAACATAACAATTATATATAGAATTTCAAAAATAATTAGGCAGCTTTACCATTTCAAATAATTGATAAACATAACATTCAATCTTCTAAAAATTAGAAGTATAATATCCAACAAAAGGTATAAAGTATGACATTTACATTCACATCCACCAAAAACCTCAAGTTTTAAGATCATCCACATAAAGTTCAAAACAACTAAGCTTCTAGTTTGTAGTTCAAAAAAGAAATAAAAAGCACTTAATCAACAATTGGAGTAGAAAAATAAATAAAACCCATGAAGCCCATGCCTCACGCCTCAAAAAAAAGCCCTCGCCTCAGCGCCTAAGCTGCGCCTAGGGTTGCAAATGAACCGAGTTGTTCATGGTCAGGCTCGGCTCGGCTCGTTAAGGGCTTGGCTCGGTTCGGTTCGTTTAGTAAACAAGTCGAGCTCGAGCTCGCATAAGCCCGGCTCGTCAAGTTCGGCTCGTTTATCTTTATTTAAATTATATAATGAATATATTATTTATATATTAAATAATATATAAATATATATATAATAATATAAATACATTATTTATATGTTGAATAATATAAATAATATTTTTTATTTGAATAATATAAACAACATTTTAAAAAAAAATTATCGAGCCAAGCTCGAGTTTCATTAATATTAATGAGTCGAGCCGAGCTTGAGTGCAGTTCCTTATCGAGCCGAGCTCGAGCTCAAGCTTAATAAACGAACTCGATAAGTTTGACTCGGCTCGGTTCGTTTGCAGCCCTAGCTGCGCCTCGCCTTGACTTGTTCAAAGCGCAAGGCTGCACCTCGCGCTTAGATGTGCGCCTAAGCGTGCCTTTTAAAACACTAACCAGAACCTTAATCTCAATATCACAAAGCTGAATAATACAATGTCAAAACCTAATATTTATAGACTTCTAACCATAATTAAATTAGGAAACTAAATCCTAATCACCTTGCTTGGTTTCCAATTTTCCAAAACACTTTTCAGAAAATTCTACTTTCTTATTTTCCGTGTTTTTTTGTTTTTATTGAATTTTTTAATATTTTAAGCAATTTGTTTAATTTTTAGACACACTTAAAATAAATATACATAAAAAGTATAATTTTTGTGGAAAAAAATCTTTTAAAATTCACTAAATACCAAAAATATAAAATAAAAAAAATACGAGAATTCAATATATTTTTGGTTTTTTATGTATTTATTAATCAGTATATTTTTTGTATTTTTATGTATTTATTAATTTTTTAAAATATTTTTTCACAATTTTTTTACTTTTTAGATACATCTAAGTAAGGCGCATCTAAAAAAGTAAAAAAAATGTTTAAAATTTAAAAAATATTCACTAAAAACAAAAAAACACAAAAACCAAAGAAGTCAATTTTCAAAAAACTTAATCCAGAAAACTCAAACCAAACACCGTGAATATTATTTAAAAAATAAAGACTCCTAATAAGACTCGATTCCTAATATCATTGGGAAGTAAAGACTCCTAATCAAAATATAATAATAAATAAATTAAACATTAAAGACATAAAATTATAAAATTGTAATGCCAACATTGGTGCATTCCCATCACGCATCATTATGTAGCCTCCATTCCCACACATTTCAAAGTTGGAAATTGGTTGTACTTATTATTCCCGAGTAATACTTTCTTAGTACTTTGTAGTCGATGTTATGGGGAGCCAAGTGCCACACCCAAACCAAACTAAGCCTTTTGTCTAAATCATGTGAGGCTACATGAATCATTCTTTGCTATTTTGCCTTTGTCAAGGGCTATATGCTCAATTAAATTAAATAAATTCATATCATTTTTTAGTACCGCATTCCATTCTAATTTACATCTTCCCCTCCCCCAAACATTTTCATTTATGATGATCATATCACTCTTCTTTATTGTTGCTCCTACAGGTTTTCATATATATATATATATCAGGAGCCAAGCTTTGTGCTCCACTGAATAGTTTTCAGTTCCTTTTGTCTGCTATTTTGAAGGCTGTGTCCGTGATTTATACAGCATAATTCATTTTTTCCCTTTTTAGGTTTGGTAAAGCTTTTTCCCCTTTGAATGTCACAATTAATGTAAAGATAATCATACATTATGTTAGGTGAGAGGTGATAAATTAGTTTTATTGGCGTCATTCTTTTATCTTTTTGCACATTGTTGTGTCTGATCTCTGATTGTAATGCTGTTATTATCATTTCTGCAGGTACCAAACACAATTATGTAATAGTAATGTTTTCAACATAATTTTTGCAGGTACCAAACACAATTGAATTTGCTGACTGGATTGGTCGGACAAAACAGAAGAAAATTCGTGTCACTGGGTAAGTAGCATCTTGTGGTAATAAAAGTTCAATTCTTGTTCAGTGTCTTGTACGCTAATCTAATGAAATGAGTTTATCTTCATTTTCCTGGTTATTTGTATGTAAGGTTGAAGCAGAGTAGAAATTGTGCTTTTATTTTGGTTGACTTCTTTAAATTAAATTTCCTGCCATTTTTTGTCTTTTTTCAATCAGGACAACAAAAAGACCAGTCCCTTTGGAGCATTGCATCTTTTATTCTGGAGAACTTTATAAAATTTGTGAAAATGAAATCTTTAAGGCTCAGGGTTTGAAAGCTGCTAAGGATGCATACAAGAGAAAAAATCCAAATACAGTTGGTGGTGGTACCGGAGCACATCCTGGGTTTTCAGCAGGCCATGAAGGGAGTCGAGGTCAAAAACGTGAAAATTCTTTCCGGGACAAACAGAACAAACATTCTGGGTCTTTTTCTGGGGTGGGTGGTGGGAACCAACAAACTAGTAGCAATCGGGTGTCCTGGAGAACAGAAATGTCTTTGTGGTTGTTGCTTATAAATAAGCTTTCAAGAAAGTCATTATTACCTGTAAGTAGAATTTCAATTTGAAATCCATGTTTCTTTTTCATATTTTCCACTTTAATACTGTGAAACAACTAGTTAGAATGTATAATGAAGCAATTTAGGGTTAGAATTTAGGAGGAAGAAGAAGAGATAATAGAAAAGAGAGAATTTTTATATATTTGTAATGTATCTATTAATTACATCAGCAAAATATATATACAAATCCTAACATAGTGATATGACCATCGTACCCTCAACTTAAGTAAATATTAACAGAAGAACAATAAAATAGAAAATAATAACTATTCTAACACTCTCCCTCAAGCTGGAGTATAGAGATTAAACATGCCTAGCTTGGCAGATAAATGATGAAACGAAGACCGAGCCAAAGGTTTAGTGAGAATATCACCCAATTGATCTTTAGAATGAATATAAGGAGTCACAAGTTGCTTGCGGAGTAAGAGATCACGAATGAAATGGCAATCAACTCCTATATGTTTGGTTAGTTCATGCAACAGTGGATTGTTGGCAATGAAGATAGTTGCCTGATTAGCATAAGACATGCGTATAGGAGTGGGAACAGAAGTGCCAAAATCTCGAAGAAGAGATTGAACCCAAAGCATTTTAGAAGCAGTATGAGCCACGGCATGGTACTCAGCTTCAGCAGTAGAACGAGCAACAACAGTTTGTTTCTCGCTACGCCAAGTAACAAGATTACCATCAATAAAGGTACAATAGCCGGAGGTGGAACGGTGGTCAGTCTTATTACCAGCCCAATCAGCATCACTGAAGTTGGTGATAGACAACGAGGAAAATGGGCGATAAAGCAAACCCTGACCGGGGGCATTCTTCAAGTACTGCAAGATACGACACACAACAGTAAAATGGGGTTGGCGAAGAGCATGCATAAACTGACTAACCACTCCCACGACACACGTAATATCGGGACGAGTGACAGTGAGATATATTAACTTCCGAACCAACCGACGATAACAACCAACATTAGGAAACAAGTCCTTAGTTTCGCCATCAAGTTTGACACTAGAATCCATGGGGGAGTATCACTAGGACGAGTGCCGAAGAGGCCAGTCTCAGTGAGAAGATTAAGAGCATACTTACGTTGGGAGAGAAATAATCCCTGAGAAGAGCAAGCAACTTCTATCCCAAGAAAATACCGAAGATGACCCAAGTCTTTGGTGTGAAATTGTTGTCCCAAATACCGCTTCAAATCAACAATACTAATGGAATCACTCCCAGAAATGATTATGTCATCGACATAGACAATAAGAACAATACTCCCAGTAGACGAGTGGCGAACAATAACAGAGTGATCAAGGGTGGAATGGAAAAAACCATAGGCGATCATAACAACACTAAAATGATCAACCCAGGCACGAGGAGATTGCTTGAGACCATACAAAGCCTTTCGCAATCGACAAATAAGATGCTCATGACCGGGAACAACATAGCTAGGGGGCTGATCCATATAGACCTCCTCTTAGAGATCGCCATGAAGAAAGGCGTTCTTGATATCAAGTTGATACAAAGGCCAAGACTGACTAACGACAATAGAGAGTAGGATCCGAACTGAGTTAAGACGAGCCACATGAGAGAAACCTCCAAGTAATCAATACCATAGGTTTGTGTGTAGCCTTTGGCTACCAAGCAAGCCTTAAGCCGCTTAACAACCCCATTAGGAAGATACTTCACCGTATAAATCCAACGACAACCCACCATAGATTTGCCAGAAGGTAGAGTGGTAAGTTCCCACATCTGATTCTTATGAAGGGCATGCATTTCCTCATCCATGGCATGTTTCCAACCAGAGATGGACATAGCCTACTGATATGAACGGGGAATGGTAATACTAGACGAGTTACAAGCAAAGGAGTGAAGACCGGGAGAGAGGCGAGCATAAGAAACAAAATTAGCAATAGGATGTTGAGTGTAAGTACGTTTACCTTGGCAAAGGGCAATAGGACGGTCATTAGAGGGCATATTGGCAGATGGAACAGGGGAGTCAGGAACCTTAGATGAAGGAGATGAGCTGGTCGGGCCATAAGACACAATGTGACGAGCTTGAGACCACTGATAAACCTGCTAAGGAGGCGTAGAGGTGATACTAGAGGGAGAAGATATAGAAGAGGAGGAAGGATCACATGACGAAAAAGTAGGGGTTAGGGAGGCGGGCTCCCCCTCACGACAAGAAAGAAGATTAGCGGATAACTGTTGCCCAAAGGAGGAGAAAAAATGAGTGGACTCAAAAAAGGTAACATTAGCACTAATAAAGTATCGACGTGACTGCAGGATGATTACACCGATACCTTTTCTGAGTACGAAAGTAGCCTAAGAACACACACTTGCGAGCACGAGGAGATAACTTATCCAAACCGGAGCCAAGAACATGGACAAAGGCAACACATTCAAAAACACGAGGTGACAAGGGAAAAAGAGACGATGTGGAATATAACTGATAATATGGAGACGTGTGTACAACACTAGAGGGCATGCAGTTAATAAGAAAACAAGTGGTGAGAACATCATTACCCCAAAACTATTTGGACATGCATATTAAACATCAATGTGTGAGCAACATCTAACAAATGACGGTGTTTTTGCTCTGCAACACCATTTTGAGGAGATGTATAAGAACAACTAGTCTGATGAATAATACCACGAGCATCACAAAAGTTAGTTACAATAGATTGCACATATTCTAAGGCTTTATCAGACTGAAATATCTTATTACGTTTTTTAAATTGAGTAAAGATTTCATTATAAAACTTAGAGATGATAAAAGGCAAATCAAATCTCTGTTTCATTGAAAATAATCAAGTCATCCGAGAGTAATCATCCATAAAAATAACAAAAAAAAAAAAAAATCATTAATAGTAAGAGTTCTAGAAGGACCCCAGATATTTGTATGGACAAGAGCAAACGACTCAGACACACGACTAACACTACGACTAGGAAAAGAACTGCGGTGATACTTTCCAAGTTGATAGATTTCACACTCAATCTTAGAAACATGACTCAAATCCGGAACAGCTAACTTGAGCTTGGCTAAAGAGGGATGACCCAAGCAAAAATGCCACTAAAGAGGAGATATAGTAGTGCTCAACATAGTAGATGGAGGAGGAGGAGAAATCTCAGTGTCCAAGAAGTATAAGCCATCCTTCTCATGCCCCGAACCAATCACCCTCTTGGTTTGGAGGTCCTGTAAAACATATGAAGTAGGAGAAAAGGTTATGCACCAGTGGAGAACTTAAGTTAATAGGCTAACAGAAAGCAAATTAAATAGAAACTTAGGAACATAAAGACCAAAAGGTAAGGAAAGGGATGGAGTAGGATGACGAGGACCTTGACCATTGACAGGTCAAGAAAATCCATCAGCAAGTATAATAGTATGATCAATAGGCCTAAGAGTGTCAAAATGAGAGGAATTACCAAAGATATGGGAACTAGCACCAGAATCTAGAAGCCAAGATTGAGTAGACTTGGCCACACATTCAACATTACCTGAACTAGCCATAGTAGTAGTAGTAGAGGATGAAGGCAGACTAGGCCAGAGAGACTGGACAAGAGCGGTATGCTCACTAATCTGAGTAGTGAGAGTCTTATGAGAATCAATCGGAGAAGCAACAGTACCTGTGGAAAACAAGAATGACAGTGAGGATGGAGCATCTATAACCTGATCCACATGATCAGGTTTGCCATACTTCTGCCAACACCAAGGTTCAGTATGACCTTGGGAACCATAATGAGTACACTTGCGATCATCGCGTGGGTGGGAACCAGGTTCACTACTACTGCCTTCACCAGGTCCGTTACTACTGCCTCCACGTGAACCACCACCACGATCTTGTGAACCAGAACAAGAACAAGAACCACGAGAACCCCGTGAACCAGAACAAGAACCTCGTGAACCAAAAGAGCCATGAAAACCCCCGTGAGTAGACCCTTGATCACCACTACTAGAGACCAAGGCAGAAGAAGACAATGTAGGGGACCCAGATGGGGGTTGGGACTAGCCCAAGGAAGAATGTAGCAGCCGAGAATAGGCATTAGCAGCAAACGATAAAGTCACATTGGCAAGAATTTGATCCTTGAACCCCCTCAATTCAAGATCTAAGCCGAGAAGTAAGGAAGCCATCATAAATTCCTCCCAATGTTGCTTATGTTTGTTTACATCAGTAGTAAAGGGCCGATGCTGCAATAACTGATTCCACAAGGTCTTGAGACTACTATAATACTCGGGAAGTGATTGGCCAGATTGGCGCATAGCAAAAATTTGCTCATATAATTCATAGACTTGAGAGACATTACTTTGATTTGAAAAAGATTCAGCAAGGGAGTCTCAAATTTCCTTAGAAGTATCACAAAATTCCACGATAGTAGCAACATGTGGTTCTAGACTATGCCAAATCCAACCCATAACACAGGAATCCTCACACAACCAATCATCATAGCCTTTATCATCCTCGGTAGGTGGAAATTCAGTAAGAAACCATGACTTCTTTTTGCCACGTAAGAAAATCTTAACAGTATGAGCTTGCCAGATAATTTAAACCATTTAATTTCTAAATGGTAATTGACTTGGGTATTTCATCATCTTTAATTACAGAGGATTGAGAAGCAGGTTTTGGTTCAACCATAATACCGAAGGAAAATGGAAGAAACAACCAAAAACTTCAATAGAGCAGAAATCAAGCAAACAACATAGTAACACAACAACAATCAATCAAGAACTCTTAGCCATTAAATAGCAACACACAACCAAGCATCACACAACAACAAAAAGAGCCCAATAAGAGAGTTCCAAGTTACAGGACGAATTCAGAGAAGAAAAACTCCTATCTGCCGAACATGGAGAAGCCGAAATCCACAAAAACTCCAAGAAAACACACCAAATCACAAAACAATACTTAAAAAAGGTGTAGATACTAATTCGTCTCCCAGAGAAGTCAACCCACTAGGTAGAAATCGCAGATAAGTCGCAGAATCACAGATCAAAAAAACGACACCAATTAACTTGAAAATCATTCAAAAATACAAAACTTACATCAGATGGTCCCAAAAAATTCTAGAAAAATCACCATTAACATTAAGGAAGAGAGGCAAGCACAGAGGAAGCATCTTGTCCGTACGGACTGTGACATCATCTTTCGAAAGATGATGTCAACACATCATTTTTGCCTCAGAAGAGCTTCGAGAGTCTGATAAACACTATACAAGGATGAATTGTTGCTCTAATACCAAGTTAAAATGTATAATGGAGCAATTTAGGGTTAGGGTTTAGAAGGAAGCACAAGAGATAAGAGAAGTGAGAGAATTTTTATATATCTGTAATGTATCTACTAATTACATCAGCAAAATATATATATACAAATCCTAACATAGTGATATGATCATCGTACCCTCAACTTAAGTAAATATTAACAGAAGAACAATAAAATAGAAAATATTAATTGTTCTAACACAACTCATATAATTACTGCACCTTAAATGAACTGCAATTTAGGAGTAAAGGTTTGTTTTAGTGTTGAAAATATGCATTAAATCATAAATGTTAATATCCAATTTTGGCATATCAATTTGCTTAAGCATTGGACAATCCAAAGCTAGAGTATTTGTTAAGTGTCAGCATGAGCATCGAAAACTTTCAAAAATCTGTAGATTTGTATTTCTAGTTGTCTTATTATAATTTATTTTTTTGCCTTGACTTGTGACTTTAGGTGGTTATATTTTGCTTTTCAAAAAATCGTTGTGACAAGTCAGCTGATAATTTGAGTGCGATTGACCTCACAAGTAGTTCAGAGAAAAGTGAAATTCGAGTCTTCTGTGACAAAGCATTTTCAAGGCTGAAGGGATCTGACAGGAACCTCCCTCAGGTTTTGTTGCGCAGGGATTTTATTTTTCTTCCATTAATTTAAACAATTTTGGCATCAGACATATTGTGTTATGAAATTTACAGGTGGTCAGAGTTCAAAACCTTCTCCGTAGAGGGATTGGTGTACATCATGCGGGGTTGCTTCCAATTGTTAAAGAAGTTGTTGAGATGCTTTTTTGCCGTGGTGTGATTAAGGTGAAGTTGTCTTGCCACTTAAATGTTCTCAATTTAGCACGATCATGTTAAGTTTTCCAGAATGATGTGAAAGTTTATGATGGGCCTATAATGTGAAGTGGTGCTCTTATGTTATGCGGACTCTTCAATATAAATCAAATAGCCATGTCGGACACCCGACATTCGGACAAGGGTATGAGATTTGTGTCGGATACTTTTCATTGGAAACTTCTTATATAATTGTATTTAGCACTATTATTATATGAACATATTATTGTATAATTGCTATAAATGTATTTTGAGACTGTAAATTACATATAGTACCATTTTATCTCACATACTTGATTAAAATATAAAAATATGACATTTTTTTGCTGAATTCGTATCCTTAAATTTGTTCGATCTCTAGATATATACCCATGCCCGACACTTGTACTCAAGTCCATGCAACATAGGTGGTGCTGTAAACAAAATGTTTCTTCAATGCCAATTTTTTTCAGTATGGGTTCAGTTTCACTTTAGGAGCTTTCATTGGTTGACAATCATCCTTTTTATTTTATGTTTTTATTCAGGTTTTATTTTCAACAGAGACATTTGCAATGGGAGTAAATGCCCCAGCTAGGACGGTGAGTCTTGTTTGATTTCATTTTGTTCTTTTGGGATATGCTAGGGGGTCCCCAACTCATTTTTGAATTGAGACTAACCTGTGTGGATGCCCTTAGTTAGAAAACACATCCACACGGTGAACCCGAACACCTGAACCTGACACTTTGGTTCTTGATATAACAACTTGGCCAACTCACCCTAAAATGAGCGGGTGATTAGCATTTCTTTTGTTGAATAGATTCAGTGTCATATGCCAAAATGTGTTTAGCTGATTTGTATTTTGTAATAATGTATCTTCTGGCTTATTGAGTTCTAATCTTCTGGGTTTGTTTAGTTATTTTGTCTCTCACATTTTGACTTTTAATCAATTCTTGAAAGCATATCTTGTTGTAACCAATGTTTGGCACTAAATCAAGAACAATATTTGGTTATGTGATGATGGTAAATTCTAACATATTTTGTAATAATGTATCTTCTGGCTTATTGAGTTCTAATCTTCTGGGTTTGTTTAGTTATTTTGTCTCTCACATTTTGACTTTTAATCAATTCTTGAAAGCATATCTTGTTGTAACCAATGTTTGGCACTAAATCAAGAACAATATTTGGTTATGTGATTGATGCTTGCTCAGTTATCTTTTGTTTGACTTTTCGAGACTATAATGCTTTTATTTAAGGTCTTTGCCCTTTTGCAGTATGTCTTCAAAAGTGGAATGCAATCTTCCCGCAATAATTATTGCTCTATTATTGACAGTTCCTTAATAAGATCAATATACCTGGCTTTCATGTGGTTCTTGTTTGTATAACATAATTTTTATAATTTCAATATTGTTGTCTCGTTTCTCGAGCTTTGCTCCATCAATCTCCCAAAGCTTTATCATAAGGCAGATTACTATGGCTGATGTTTTAGTTTTGAATGTCACCTTTGACCTGAGATGCACGAACAATTTTAAGGTGGCATGTCTGTATTCGACACATGTCAGACACCGATACTCATGGATACCCCCGACACTTGTTGGACACTTCTCGACACATGTCAGACACGCACACTAACATGTCATATTATTTATTTTTAAATATTTTTAGAGTCTAACACACTTCGAACACTTGGGAAACACATGTCCACCACTTGGACACATAACTTAGGATCTAATGATACACGAAAAAACAATGAAGATTTATACCTATTAACCATCATCCTTCTAATTTTAGAAATTTGTGTTATGTTATATATATGTATATATATATATATTTTAAACTTTGAAAGAAATATTCATATATTTGACATACAATAAATGTATAAAACCATATATTTTGCATGTGTCCCAATGCGTCACATCTTGCATCTTTTTGTAAATTGTCCTGTTTGTGTTGTCGTGTCATGTGTCCCTGCTTCTTAGCCTTTGATTATCACCTATTGTTGTCAAAAATTTGTTGAATTGACTTGGGCATACATTCTATTTCTTAAAAGATGCTACATAATTTTTTGGGATTTTTTTTTTTTCGACATCAATTTGCTAATGCTACAATTGGACATTTCATTTTTTGATTTCATTATGCATGTGGCAGGTGGTTTTTGATACCTTAAGGAAGTTTGATGGCAAGGAATTTAGGCAATTGCTTCCTGGAGAATACACTCAAATGGCTGGTCGTGCTGGCAGGAGAGGTCTGGATTTAATTGGTACAGTGATCATTATGTGCCGTGATGAAATTCCAGAAGAGAGTGATTTGAAACGTGTCATAGTTGGCAGTGCAACCAGGCTTGAATCTCAATTTCGACTGACCTACATCATGATCATGCATCTCCTTCGTGTTGAAGAATTGAAGGTGACTGTAGATGCATAAATCTGTGAAAATACAACAATAATGGATATCAACTGTATTTATAATGTTGGCATTAGCCATTCCTTGTCAATTTACATTGCATCCTTAAAAGCATTTTTGCAATGCCATAGATCTCATTTATGGCTGTAGTGTCTTCCATTGTTCTTGCTTTAGAATTAGCAATTTGGCCCACCTCCCTCCCGCTCTCACTCTCTTAGCCTCATGTGGAGCTAAATAGTCAAATGTCTTGGGAGTCAAATCTCATTAGTAACTGTTCCTTTTTTAGCTTGAAAAGAATTCAACATTTTAAATGTTGCCATAAGTCTATCAATCAAATTCAAAAGCTTGACAAAGTATCAATTTTTCCAATTAACGGGTGAATAATTGTCACCCAATTAATTTGGATGTCTTTTAATATGTTCTTTTTCCTCATATATTTTTCTAGTTATTGTGATTTAATGATAGCTGATAAGAATTTCAATAAGTTTATTTTTGTCTAAAAAGAATTTATGTCTGCCTATCAACATTGTGTTGTTCATGACATGGATCTTTTTCATTACCATGTGTATATGTATATAATTTAAATTAAGTATCCTTTTCTCTTCTGTTTTTTTTAGCTAATTGAAGTGGGAACATCCTCCACGTAATTAACATGGTTGTCTTGAGCAAAACAGACCCAGTCTTTGTTAAAACCTATCACCTACTTCACCCACTTCACCTACTCCACTACACCTACTCCACCCACTTCACCTACTCCACCCACTTCACCTACTCCGCCTACTACCTATTCTTCTCTTCTATATATAGGAATCATTGTAAACATAACAAGATATGAATCAATAATACAATTATTTATTTCTCTTTATACATTAAATTTCTACATGGTATCAGAGCTGGTTTAGAACCTAGTATTTTCGCTTCACCGGCGGGCGGCAACCTCACCTTGGCCGCCCGCCGGACCTCAATCTAATCCGCTAGGACCTCTACACATACCTTCTCTCCCGCTGTTTTGATTCGGAGTTAGCGGAAGCTGTCACTCTCTCAGTTTCCAGATGAACCATCATCCAAGCTAAAGCATGATGAGCATGGTCTTTTATCAATGGCAGCAGCAGCATCTCCCGAGACTCGATCTCCCTCTCTCTCTCAGCCCCTGATTCTTCTTCGTCAAGCAACCACCATGGCATAGAATAAGGAGCTTCCTCCATCTCAGCCACTGCCGTAGCCCCTCTCTCGGGCATGGGCTGTCTGTCTCTCTCGGCTCTCTCTCTCGGCTCTCATCTTGGTTGTTTTTTGGCTCTCCACCAACTATGTTTTTGTCTCTATAATTGATCTAGGCTTGGGATCAAGGAGCAAGGCCCCGGCAGATGTTTTTGTCCTCTTTGAAGAACGTCTGCAGATGTTCATTAATGAATATCGGATGATGGAGGCAATGCTAGGAAAACTTGAAGATGAACATGAAGAGGCTATTGTCAAAATTGACAAATGATCTTTGCTATTCTGGTTTCCACCCCGGCTTGCATAAAAACATGCTTGTCGAAAGGTGTGCTCAACCCGACATCTGTCCAGAATTCACTTTCAATACTTGTTCTTGATGA